ATTCGCAGTCTAGCAATTTACTAAGATCCTCCTGAATCAAGTATTGGGAGAAATTTACCCTCGTGGAAAAGTAACCCTAATTTGCACTATATGGAAAAGAAAACCGTTAAGATCTCAAATCTCCCACGGTTAGCCTGACAGCCAGAGAACTGAAACTCACCACCGCCGAGGATATTTTACGTCACCATTGCGATTGGTGCGAGTCGAACGTTTATGTACGGCTTTTTTTTTGTTTTGTAAATTTGATTCATCAAAGTTATTTCCCACGCTAATATGTGAAAATAATTCAATAATTCATCGATATTTACTTTTTTTTCCGAAATGAAGCATTTCAAAGAAAATTTATTATTTTAAAGAAGCAGATTTATGCTATAGTTATAAAGAAAATCTTAGTAGTTACAGATATTCTATTCTTGAAAAAAAAAAGTTCTCGAATGAAATATTTTTCATATCAGTTTTTGCTCGTTCATTCGTTCGCTGTAGTGGAACTGAGCGTCTGAGGCCTTACGGCCCTTTTCCCATTCTTCTTGAAATTAGACTAAGAAACATACATGACAAAAAGTATCAGTTTTCGCTCTTTTCGTCTTGATATATATAAGCTTTCAGTCCTGCTGTGTATTTGGTAGCTGGACACGAGATGCATATTTTAATTTTTGAATTGCTTTTCCATTATTGCACAAATTGAAGTATTTAATTTCAAATTACACTGTAAAACAATGCAACGGCAGTTATTTTGTTATTAAAAATATTTTTCGAACTTTTCAAATGGGGCTGTCTAAAAAAAAGTTGGTAATAAATGTTTTATGAGGTTATTGTAAATTTTATATGCTTTAACTGCACAATTATTTTAGGAATTCAGTTTGTCATCTACAAAACAATTGTATAATGTACAAATATTTTTGTTTCACAGTAAATAAATAAAACGTTTAGTTTCTGCGATATTTTGGTTACCAGATTTTATAATTTTCTGGAATGCAGCAACGTTGTCAAACGATTTGGAGAACAATAACTGGGCTGCCAACTTTCGACGCTTTGTGGGCAAATCTTTTCGAGTAGTAGAAAATTTTACGTTTTAATGTATGATCCTTTGTTTAGTAAAATATAATTTAAAGTTATTTTCCGTTACATATGATTGATGCGAAAGTTCATATAAATTATTATGCGATACATATTTGCTTACTAATAATTAAATTAGATTAAAAAAATAAAAATATAAAAAAAAACTAATCCTTTCATTCTTCTCTTACTTTCATAAGCATTTAATCGCTAATTTAATTATGCCTGCCAATTTTCCGCGCTCTCTGGAAAAATTTCTTCTAATGGCTAAGTTTGTGCTTTAAAGAATTGCTTCTTTCTTTCCTAAATTTGATTTAAATTTATTTTTCGCATCACCACTTGTAAATGATTTGAAAGTTTATATGAATGCCCTTCTAATCAAGTCCTCTCATCATGAGGCTTTTAAATTGCTGGCAAAATTACCAATGTTTCTGTTAGCTTTAGTTTTTGATTATTTACCACTCAATAAAATAATTTGCAAAAATCGTAGCAGTTGGAAGCCCTGATTTAACTAATCGTTTCATTTTAATTTCATCCGTTGCGACAGTAAACATCACTTAAGTAATGCGGTGACCTTGTTGTCCTGGTTCTCGTTGGTACGTTTTTAGTTTCCGCAATTTTCCATATACAGTCAAACCCCGCTATAGAGCACACGACTTATTGTGAACTTCCGGATATAGTGAACAAAATGCTCGGTCCCGTGCCTTGCTATACACGTATAATGTTATTTTTAGTGGATATAGTGAACCAAAAAAGTGAGGAAGTTGGATATAATGAACTTTTTTCTGCCTATTCGACTGATTTTTTTCTTCATTTTTTTGCAATAATTTTGAAATTTCTACTTCAAAATAAATACATATACCGATTTTTAAGACCATCTATAGAGGGGAATGTAGCAATAAGCATTTTTTCTTGTTTGCTTCTTTTATTTCACTTTCCAATCCCTAAACAACCCAAGCAGATGTTTCCAGGCAGATGATGCACCTGCAAGGTGTCAGTGGGATCAATATGCATTTTCTATCAGAGGGAATGAGTAATTATTCATTATTGGTCAAAGGGTTGGACACTAATATGTGTTGATAA